AAATAAATGATAGATATTAAATTAATAAATTCATTTACGTGTAGTTTATAATTAAAAGGAAGAGTTGAGAGTAAAGAGGTGGATATGGAGAAAAAATGAGGTGTAAATAGAACCATCCTTAATAATTTTATATAAAGAGTTGGGGGTAATTTTAGAATAATTGGCGAGTGTGTAAAAGAAAATCTAATCATCTAAATATTGTGTAGACTGTGTAATTACAAGGGGATGTAAAGAGCAAAATGGGGGATGTAAATAGAACCACCTAACTTAAAACAACAAAAATGTAGGTGTATATACAACAATCCATGCATGAGGACGGATTCATGGGCATGGAAGGAACACCATTTAAACATAATACTCTTCAGCAGCCTTTGTCTACTTGTTTAGGCATGTCGTAGCAAAAGGTACGTCATGATAATTAAATTAGATATTATTAGCCAAAAAAAAAAAGATAATTAAATTAGATTTTTGATATACACAAGAATTAGTAGTCTGCAATATTATGTAGTTTGATGAAAGGTACTAAACGCCAATATTGTTACGAATTAAAAACTTTGAAACAAAAATTGGCAACTCTTGAACGAGGATTCAGAAAAAATAAAATAATTAAATAAAAAAACTCTTGAAGGAGGAAATTACAAGGACCAAATGTCTGTAAAAAATAAAAAATAAATATAATGTTTAGCTGCAGTCTCTCACCATACATCCGAGGAAACACTTTCTACTATTTTTGCCGAACTCACACTGGTAAATTTTTTATAGCTTACCAAAAAAAAAAAAAAAAAAAAAAAAAAAAAAAAAAAACTCACACGGATTAATTTCAACACCATTTGTTCACAAACAAATAAGCAAAACACATTACCAAACTTAACATCAATGACTAACAAGGCCTTTTGTGGAAAATTTTGTAAATAAAATCAATTTCCACTTGATAGCATATTCAACATATAGAATTGACGGGAATATGGACAAACCTTCCTTTTATACAAAGAGATATAAATTATGGAGAATGATTTCTACATTTACAGGGGCTATATGTATATATATGAATATATATATTTATAGCGACTGTACTCTATCCACACTTTGAGATGAATGTGAAGCAGCAAGGAGGGCTGCTCCAATACCTGATCCATCTTCTGTTACCTTGAGAACGACATGTTGAGCAACTTCTTCCCCTAATATTTCAATCAAGGCCTCATGCAAGTACTCCCTAAACATCGTATAACTTGTATATAAACCCCCTTCGATCGCTACGACTGTTCTTCTCATTTTGTTATCACTTCTCCTTCCCCCTGTTAGGCCACCACTCCCATCTCGGCCTATCTTCTTTAGGATTCCTGCGATACCGGCAGCAGCCAGTCTGGCAGCCCTTCGTGTTACCACGTCGCATACCTTAACTACGAGCTTCCGGACCTTTAAAGGAACATCGGGAATCTGGAACACCCGAGTTCACAAAGCAATCAATAATCAGAAATTGGATATTTATGAAGCGAGACTTGTCGATTGTATATGAATAAAAAGAAAACAAATGGAAAGAGGTGCATGGTTCTTCTACCTCCAAGACGTCTCTTAAGATCCGTCCAACCTCCTGCAAATCAGGAGAATCATCTTCGTGCATTGCAGCCATTAATGGTGTCCTGAAATTACATGGTTAAAAAAGTAAACACCTGTCACAATTCTTAAGGTATTCAAAAGATAATAGTCAGAGAAATGCTTTGCCTCACGAAAGATCATAGCTCAAAATTCACGAATTGCACAAGAAGTAATGGCAAGTCACGTGCAAGTGCAAGTAGAGGTAGTCACGTGCAAGTGAGAGTAAAACTCTGTGTTATGAATCGTAAGTACTTGTTTTCGTGTAGTGTAATGGAGCTCTAATAGTGGTTCCAAGTCCTTTGGAAGTCCTATATTTTCCTTTCCTGTGCTACCATGCCAAAATCTCCCTGAACATCTAAATATTAAATTCCGTGGGACGAATGGGGATAATACAATTTATTTAGATGCTTTGTGACATGCAATCGCAATCTAGGGGGAGCAGTAGTAGCCACGGACTTTGGGTCCCTTCGAGGACCCACCACCACCAGTAATTAAAGCACAAGGCAAAGCCTTGTCACCGACTGAAAGAAGAGAAAATATTCCTACCTTGAGTCATCTCAATAAACGCCACGAGTATTTTTTTTTTTTTAAGAAAAATTGTATACTATCGTAGTATTAAAATATTCAACTAAAATTATCTAAAGAAAATAGCTGCCCTAATAATTAAGAACTAGACATAATTCCATCCCCAGCACTTCCCTTACAGACATTCTGTGGCCAGAGCCAACGTTAGAATAATGTCTATACTAGTGACAACTCACATAAAAGTTTAAAAAAGAAATTGACAACTCACCATAAAAGCTAAAATAGAAATTTCTGTCCCTTCTGGACCGGGAAGAAACAAAAACATCGACAACGATGGAATTTCCTAATGCTTAAATAAGACCACTTGCGTGGCTTTAAAAAAACTAGAATAAGTTTCAGACACATCCTGATTTGAATTTAAGTGCCAAGTTCATAAAACACTAATTATGGTTAAGGGAACAGAAGAACTTCAAACGAAGCAAGCAGGAAATAATATGTGAAGACAAAAAATGCATGTGTTTGTGCTTACCTTAAAACGAGAGAGGTACAAAGATAGAGACTCACCTCAAGATGAAGGGCACTGATAACTTGGAAGAAACGGGTCCAAAAATATCCGTCTCTTGTGCCATTCTGAGAATCACTCTCCTTACAATGTCGCCCAAATACATTCCTGATATCATTTTTTCAAAACCCTGCAGCAAATTCTTAGTAATGTGAAATTTCCATCGAATATTACTTCAATAAGCAAGAAACAAAAATGAGAAAATGGACTTCTGCCTTATCTACTTATATAAAAGCAACCAAAACAAAAATAACTTTTACCTGATCATTTGGGTTAGGACTATCGGCATCTAGATCAATATCATAAGTAGTTCTTGGTAAATGAGACGTCCAAAAATTTCCCCATTCCATGTTGACAACCTAGTCAACAGAGAATATGAAGAATGTAAGGACTGCTGAGTAATTTCATTTTTTTTTTAAGTTTAGTCATTTTCTCAAGATACGGAGTGGTAATGAGGGAAGCATAAGAAAAAATACCATGCATCCTGTAGTTGTAAGAAGCCCTTGACACTTTATGATAGCATCTGTCCGTTCCAAGTAGCAGGCATTTGTACCCGTCCCAATTAACACTGCAGCAACAGTGTCTTCATCATGATAATGTCCAAGAGCTAATGTTCCAACAGTGTCATTGACCTGTTTAAATAAAATAAAGTGTTAAACATTCAATATACATAACTAAACTTGCACAGTTCAGAAAATAAATTCTTACATACATTTTAAAAAAAAAAAAAAAAAAAACGCGTGCATGAGCACCAACCAAATACTATTGCAAGAAAAGATGGAATTTTTTCAACTCATGGATATGTCTATACATGCATTTATGTCCGTGTTTGAAGCTCATATGCTCAGCACCCTTTACAGCCATGTTTTTGGAGCAAAGAAAAAAACGTGCATATCTTTTTTTGTTTTTCTTTTAACGACTAGGAAACATCTGTACTGTGTCAACTTGGCTGCACACAGAATTCTAAATCTCACTATCATTAAGTGCTACAGTTCAACAAATTGAGATATTTAAGGAGATCTTCTAAAATAGATGAACCTCATTAGAAAACCATGCGTCAAGGATTTTTATCCATATTTAAGAAGCATAACCACTCCATAACGAAAAATTTATAATTGCTAAATATTAAAAGTAAAAAATTTCATTATCATCTCTACGCAAAAAATTCATTACCAACATCTATAAATCTATCTATAATTCTTTGAAAAATAATCAGACTTTTAGCTTAGAAGAAATTTATGTATAGAGTTCCTGCAGAGAGACATTTATTAAATGCTCAACACACAACAGTATCATCCATATTTTGCTACTATAATTGTTCCACAACTACCACGGTCTAAGTTGATCATAATTAGATGAAATATGCCAAGGAAATCAAAACCAATCCTTTATAGCCAATCATTTATATATGCATGCACAACTAGATAAAAACTGGTACTTATATATGCCTACGTAACTGCACAAAAATTGGTAGTGGGAAAAAAAAAAGAAAAAACTTTACTGACCTTCCTTTCTTACATTTCAATGGAAATTAACTTTAACAGCTAACACTAAAAAATTTCTTTAGAAATGAACACGGAGAATAGTTGGATATTAAATTCTACTTCCGCATGTTTGTTATTTCCCTAGAGCTCGCTTATTCCACCTCCAAAATTATTCAAATTTCATATGATGACGTTGGCAAAAATGATGAAAATGATTTATGACAAAATTCTCCCAGAACACATTTAAATATGACACAAGAGAAACGCAAGTAAGAATCAATAATGAAATTTTGGTTGAAGAGGGAAGCTGAGTCCTATTTAATTTCCAGGATCATTGTGCACTTGCATCATACACATAGAACAATCGAAAATTGAGAAAATGAAAAAATGTCAACTTTTTAAAATGATGACCCCTTGGTTAACATATGATCATGTTGGCTATCTACGTAGCATAAATTAATACTGAATGAGTTATCAATTATCACGCTTATAACGAATTAAATATTCTTGCATACCAGTGCTGCCACCTGCATATTTAGACCTTTTCTGGTCAATGCTTGCTCTAGACATCCTGCTACCTCCTTCCCAACCTGCCAAGCATTTTGGATGATGCACAAAATAAGGAAAGGAACGGAAGTTTAACTAATAAATCAGTGACCAGTTACCAAGATTCAAATTCATTGAGACAAATCAGAAACCATATTTCATTAATTATCATCTTCTTTTTGGAAATAATATTCATATCCTTATTCAATTAAGGCAAGACAATGTTTGTATGCAGTTAGCACAAGTCAGATGCATATCAAACTGATTTCTACTGGGTGAACAATCTCCCTTAATGCAAAAGGGTTGTGAACACTTCAAAAGACTTATGTAAAGAAACAACTGGAGCCATCTGCATTTATTTGGGCACCATTGCGGAAAATACTTTAGAATAAAATGCTATTAAAGTTTCCCACAGTGCTTTCGGTTTGTGAATTTAAAAATCAGCAGAACACTGAAACTAACCATGTCTACAATTGCAAACCCTTTTGTCCATTTAATTAAGATGCCTGATGAGACAGACATTTGTTTCACAGGAAAAGAGAAAGTAAATCCAAGATCCCTTCTTCTATCCAGTGAAGTCTCAGATCCATCTCCTTCTTTTTCAACAAATTCCTTTAATGCTGAAGCAATAAAATCGAACAGATCCTACATTGCAACAAAAAATATGTTAAATGATATGAACTAGTGAAGACATGTCAAACAATGATTGAACTTGGTATATAAGAACTTTAATCACCTCACTCGTGCTGGTCATTAACTCTTGAGGAATCGGTTGCCGTTCCACATCATGACCCAGAATAGAGGACCTTCTACCTCCTAGGTGAACCCGCAAGACCCTAAAATTAGTACCCCCAAGATCTAGTGCATAATGAGTTCCTTTTTCACTCCTGACCCAAAGATAATTAGAAGAAAAAGAATTAACCTCAAATCACTGATAAAACATATGAAAGCACTTTAAAACATTTACGTGTAGTAATTCAACATTCATAACTGTGGTAATACTAAAACATGCCAATTCGAGTGATTAATAAATTCTTATTGAGTAAAAGACAATTGAATCAACCATTGAGTAAAAGACTCCACACCCATTAAAGGGCAGTAATAATAATAAATTCTTCTAAATACACAATTAATTGTCAACCATAATTACATTACACAAGCTTATGAACAGTAGCTCCAATAGACTGCTGACAAACCCAAAAAAGAAAAATGAGCCTATATTCCAAAACAGTGAAAAAACTTATCATGGAATTCGTTTCATACCCATTTAGATGAGCATGAAGAATCATGTACTTGAAAAACGAGAACCATAAGTAGCAAACGAATTCCATTCGTGGAATCTCAGTACAACACTCGTAAGACACTTCTAACGCACTCATTCTCACACGAGAATGATAGGGAATGGAAAATGGAACCTTAAGATTCCACAGACCACATTTGCAAAGTTGACAACATAATGTTCTCGAAATAAAGCAGTGAAATGATTGATATATTGTAAATTTGTAACAATATCAACGAAACATATAATAATAGCAAAGCAAACAACTTAAATAATAATAATAATAATAATTAAGAATTCTAAAAATCTATATATGTATATATACACGTATCAAGACTGGTTTTTTAGATTGATAAACAATGTTTCAGACCATAAATGGAAGACCTTTCAATTGAAAAGAACATACAGAGCTATAAACAAAGAGGGAAAAAAAACTACAGGCATCAAATTACGCTTCTTTCCGAAGAAGAAAACATCGATTCAAACAGACAGAAACGAAGAACAATCGAACAGAAACACATATTTACAATATTAAAAAAAAAAAAAAAAAAAAAAAAAAAAAAAAAAACAAGCGTGCTTCTTTTTTTTTTACAGACGAATTGATGGAAGACTAACTTGGGAGATTAAGGACTTGTTCTAAGAAGTTTTCAAAATTAGAACCGAAAATAGTACTAAAAATGAGTTTTAACCCTTTTGGCAACCATAGTGACTCGAGGAAGAGGCACATTCCTTTGCATGAATTAGTATTTTTGAAGTATACTTGCCACAACACTGTGACCAGAAGAATGATTCAACAAAATCTTAGAACTTAAATAATTTTGAAACCTCCAGTTAGTACAATCAATATGAAGAAGTTTAGATATTGATCTAATAATTAGTCAGTGCACTTAAAAACTAATAACAGTAAATAACAAAAATGACTATATATCTATGATATGAAATCGTTTTTCAGTTCATTACTAATTCTTTATTTGCCAAAAACAGTTTATTAGTTACCAATTCGTGATGACAGAAATTAGGCACCACGGAATTAATTAACTGCAGGCCTGCACTACTTGTATTGCCATGGTACAAATCTCATTCAATGCAGTGTCGTTTTAATATGAAAATATCGGATTTAATATGCTATTCTAGTTTATACTTCCATATATAATCTTATTTTCAATATTATTTTACTTTTTATCATAATTAAGAAGCTTTAAAACTTGTAAAAAAGTACATTTAAATCTTTTTAAATTGAAAATAACAAGAGTGTAATGACGATTAATTAAAAAATACAATACATCAATCATTAAAAATCAAATTCAAAACGTTGACATATGCTATATTTGAGATCAAATTTGAGCGCTGAAATTGCATCATATTAGAGAGTGATTTTTCTACCTAAATGTTAAAAAGCTTTTATACACCAATTTGATAATGCATTGGATATGCTCTGAGATAAGACTTTTTTTTTCGTAATTCTATGTATTTATGATGCAGTGGAATGGATAAAATAGACTTTTATCGGGTCTATCCTGGACGGAGGACGGAAAAATCCACCTGAAAAGACCCCACAATTATAAGAAAATCCTCAAATTAGAGAGAAAATACTATAACTTTGTATTCAAATCTCCATAATCAAGTCTTCCTCTTACAACAGCTAAAGTGAAAATTCATAGTATACTTACAAAACGATAGCAAGATATCAACTAACAAACTAATAAAAATTTAATTAAATTAGAAAGTTAAAACAAATGGCAATACAAATATAATAATAATTAGTACTTATATTTAGAACTCCTACATCAGTTTAGAAATGTTAAATGCATTAAAATCAAACAATGTACAACTCTTATGATGGAAACACGTACACTGCATGTTACTAAGTAGTGACACGTCTTTTAAAGAATTAATTTTTATTTCTAAATTTAAAAAATTTTATGATAGGATGCATTGCTTTGCCCTACTAGTGAGCAAATTTTTTAGTCATTCGATTATATTTTAACTGGCTAATTTATGATGGAAAGCACTTGTGTGTCTAAGTACATTATTTTTAACGTGAACAATCATTAATTAAACTGTTAAAATTTAATTAATCAAATTGGCTAAAATAATTGGCTCTAGTGATAGAGCAAAACAAAGTGTCCTATCATAAAAACATTTTAAAAAAATATTAGTGACCTCAATTAATAATTAAAATATACAACAATAGCATATGCCATTATATTTTTTATAGTGCTGGCCTTAATTAAAAATGAATTTCTAGCTCCACCTGGTCCTCTTCCGCCACTGTATTATACTAGAAGATTATTCTAACCATGATTTGCTCTACTCACCAACTGCAAATTTATTTAATTAGCTTCTATTAATGAGCGTAACGTATTACAGTAGAATCTTATCCTATCTTCTTATTTTTAGCGTAGGACCATATGGGCCCCAAGATCACATATATAATTCGAGTCTTCTAGCTAGTTTCTCTTTTGTTCTCCACTCAAGGTATGGGGACTGTGTCCATGTGAAAATAAATTGCGTGTTTGGAACAGTTTATAAAAATAAAAACGAAATAATTTTAATAAATATTTTAAAAACGAAAAAAATGAAAATGATTTTTATTAAGAAATTAAAAAACAGTTGAAAATTATTTTCATTTTTCTGTTTTTATTTTTTAATACTTATTAATAATATTATAATATATTAATTATAAACACAATTTCACTTTTTTATTATACTCAAAATAATTTCTTAAAAAATCAATCAAACGCAATTTTATAATCGATCCCAGAATGATTCTCAAAACAATCTCATTTTTACTTTTTATTAAAAATAAAATTATTTTAAAACTAATTCTAAACACACCTAAAGAGTATTCTTGTAACCTTGTTCAACCCGACGCTCCCACACGAAGTGAGCGCCACATCCCATGTGAGAGATCGGGAGTTAACTCTGTCCGGTTGAATCTTATTTTTCAAAATAAAATAATCCAACATACACCATCACGTGATTAGAACTATTTTCGATTTACGTGTATTTTTTATAAGAGAAAATACTGTAGCGAACCATGAACCATGATTCGAATTAGGGTACGAATCCCTCAACCAAACAATCCCAAAATGATCCAACATACACCATCACGGTATAATATATACATGTGACTAGAAGAAGAAGATGCTCAAGAGCTAGCAGTGCACGAATCACCAATAACCATCATCATTGCCAATCCATGCGCACCACACATAATCACCACCGTCCGTATACACACATACCATGACAACATGTACAAACTACAACATCACCAATCACTACACCAAATATGACAACAAAGGGTAGAAAGCAGCGATAGAAACCCTACATTACAAGACAACAACCACATTGGTCGCCACTACTACTTTTTTGAAGCTTCAAAACACATACAAATTAAAACGACAACCTTATTCTGCAAACATCTCGGCCGGCTCAAATATATTAATAATCTTTAATTCGTGATGATCAATGGAGCTTGTTGGCGAGGTTGCACTGCTTTCGGATCTCACCCTTTGTGCCGGTGAGAGGGTTGTTCTCGGAGAGAATAGTGATGGCTCTAGCGAACTCCTTGAAGAAGTAGTTTTGGCTCTTGGCCATCTTCTTGACATAAGGCTTGGTCCTCTTGTCCTCGGCCAGTTGGTGGTCGACCATCATCAAGCCCTTGTTGTCCAAGATGTTTCTGTAATAGTTGTTGTCTAGGATCATGGGCGTGCCTCTGTCGTTTCTCACGTACTGCACGGCTTTCGGGTCGGGAATGGCGTCGGGGCACTTGTACAGCATGTGCTCCACGTGGTCCGGGTTCAGAGCCGGGTCAACTTCCGGGTACAGACGGTGAACCAGCTTCACGCAGTGGGTTCGCCCCACGCTGTGGGCCCCTGTTCATTGATCTCCAAATTATCATGTCAAATATTTGAGTGAGGGAGTATCAGAATTGGCACGTGTGAAATTGTAACTAGTTAGGTTTTTAAGGTGGTATTCATAATGAACAATTGCTAATGTCTCCTTCATTTTATCGATTCGAGTTTTCAGTTTTAAATTTTTATAATAAAAAATTCTTAAAAAATATTATATCTCAACTTAAATTAAAAATTTAAATTTATAAAATGAACGAGTCCTGAAAACATTAATAGGAGTATCACACTAATAAAAAATGAGTCTCATATTATAAATACCGCACATGAAACCCATTTTTGTATTTTACATGTTAAATTAAATACGAACAAAAAATTCTTAGAGGGGGTCCACACAGTCACATTGGTGGACCCCTCATCTCAAGAGATAAGGTGGGAGTCATGTCATGTGAGTGAGCGGAGCGGGCTCTCGAAAGCTGTAGCTCTAACAATAATTTTAAGGAAAATTCGTGGGTAAAAGAACAACACCCTATTAACAACATACAATGCATGATAAAAAAGAGAAAAAAATAACGTCCTCCTGCCTTTACCACAAAATTTCCTAGTTCTAATTTTAGAGATGCCACTGCAATAAATAAAAAGCAGTGTATATGGGATAACCTTTATATTTATTTTGGTACTAATACTGGTCTGAGACTCCATTAATGGAGTTGGATAGCAGTACAAATATGTTATATGTGAAAATATTAGACACATTAGTGATGACAAATATTACACTTTTATAGCGATGTTGAAGGTATCCATAAACTTCACACTCTTATGGGACTTTCTTTAGTGGGCCTTCTTACTAGCAGTGCTAGTGGGACTTCACAATTTTTGATACATATTTAATAACTGAAGAATATAGAGATACTAGTAATTTATTTTTCTAATCCTATCAGAGAAACTCTCATTTTTTAAAAAGTAACACTATTTGTCCCGATGGAGATTTATCCCCATCAGACACACAAATGAGTCCCACATGGAGGATTCACATGGATCTTACCATGCGGAGTCTACTTTTTTGTGTCTATGAAGATAAATCTCCGTCAGAACAAAAAGAGTTTTCCTTTTTCAAAATGAAGTCTAGAACTCAAATCTTCCACCTCCAATTGAGAAAAAAATAAAGACACTACAAAAATAAGAAATGTCTAAATTCTTGTGTAATAATGTCTGGATATCAGAATTAGCTAGCCCGGGAGTTAATCTGTTGATAGCGAGGATGTAGTGACACTAGATTATCATTTTTAAGTGTATAGATAATATCCCTACTTATATATATGTGAAATGACATGCATGATGTGGTTATATATATATATATATATATATATATATATATAAACATATTAATATGTATGGTGCTATGGGAACATGATGTGAGTGTCTCTACCTAGCAAGGCGACGACTCCAGGAGTGTCAATACCAATTCCAGCAAACCTTTCCAGAACAACAGGCATGCTATCATTGTGGTCAGGCAGGTATTGCTCTAGGATTTCGGCTCTGCTCTTCCTCCCATCTCTTCTTCCTGTTTTTAGAGGGATGTAAGGTCCTCCCAGCTGAGAAATTAAAAATAATAAATATCCATTGTTAAAATTGCTACAATTAAATATATGACACAACCTGCCTTGAAATTGTAGCTTTAGAAAAGTTAGCAACTGAAAAAAAAAAAAACCCAAGTGAAAGATATACAATTATACAGAAATATTTTACCATGAACTATACAAGTATCACTTTGCATGAAGTAGGAAAATATAAAAAAAATATAGAACCGTATTTGAGTTTTAAATTTAAATTTTATTATAATAAAAAATCTTTAAAAATAATTACATTAAAACATTCTCATATAAAATCAAGTTAAATCAAGTTAATTTTTGTGACAAAAGGACCACCTTTATCTGAGGCAGAATTAGTTATGAAACGCCTCAACACAGTAAAAGAAAAGTACACATACAACTAGCATAACTAAAAAGGTTCCGACTGAAAACAAGAAAAGAAACTAACCCACATTCAGATCTGTGTTGAAAAGGTCACATTTTGAAAGAAGAAGATCTAACAACAGGAAAAAAAAAGAGAGTAAAATTACCGCAACAATGCCATCTCTAGCAGAGAGAACAAGAATATCCGCACAGGAAACAACACCAGGGCATTCTCTCTCCAAAGCTTCTTTGATGGTCTCCATGTACCTGAAATTCCTCATCCCAAAGCTCCTGTCCATATCCTTCTCCGACAGTTGCCTTCTTGTTGTGTCCAGCAGAAGTGATGCATCGCATGACTAGTATACATAATTACATATATATATATATATATACACATATATAAAACAAGTTAATTTCATGATCAAAATGATATATATTCAAAAGATAAATCTTATAATTAAATACCTGGACAGCACAGTCATGGAAGATGTTTCTGAGCCAAGAGAAGGCAGTGTTCTTGTGGCGCTTGTAAAGAAGCCTGACTTGTTCTTTGATAATGTCTTCTGCTTGAGGACACGTGTCCTTGTAAAAGTTCATCACAAGACCAGGGTCTTCCTCATTCTCGGCTGAAGCTGTCAAAGCAAACAAAGATACCAAACCGATCAAGAAGAAGAATAGAGCTCTGGAACCCATATCTGATCTTTCTCTCTCTCTAAAGTGAAAACCTCAGCTGCTCTTTTCTAGCTCTACCACTACTGGTCTTTAAGTAACGCCAAAGAAGGACAACTTGGACAATTTAAATAAAAGAAAGAGGGGACACTCGTCATTATGTTGGCGTAATTTTAGAAAGATTCCGGGGTTATACTGAAAAGCATGGCAATTAATAGAAGATGAATACTTTATTTTATTTGTGTGCCATATGTTATAGGACCACGTTCTCTTCTGTGTTGTTTAACCCGTCAGCGAGTTATTCATAATTTCATGATTTAATACGTGAAGTTACTGCAGCATTTACTGATGTTGCTTTGGAAGTTGGTGATACTTGAATTGAGTGTCGCAAAGTTTTAGAAAAGCTGCCGAAGAGCAGTTATGACTTATGATCAATGAAACTTCCTTTAGATTTTAGTGCGGTTGTCTACTAGTTGTGATAATTTTGTGCTAGTGCAAAAGCAATTTGATAGACCTAAACGAGTAATAATTGCCTCTTAACTTTTTAATTATAAGTTAAAGATTCAATATATTAGTCACTTTCTACTTGTTTAATCGCTCTAGTTCTTTACCAAATTCTTCACGCCACCTTATTAATCCGCCTTTGAGCTCTTTTATTGAGGGGACCTCAAAATGCCATGAATATGAAAATTAAAAAAATATATATATACTAGGGGGAAAGGAAACCTAATCCTTAGGAATCTTTTAATACTAAGAAATGAAATAACTGACTAGATTGTGTGAAATGCACCATAACTAGTAAAAGAAAATGTTAGGACCTCAAAATGCCGTGAATATGAAAATTAAAAAAAAAAAAAAAAAAACTAGGGGGAAAGGAAACGTAATCCTTATAATACAGAAATGAAATAACTGACTAGATTGTGTAAAATGCACCATTAACTAATAAAAGAAAATGTTAGGAATTCAAAAGACATATTTATATTTAATTGGTTATATAAGGACACAAACCGTATTAGAAAATAGTCAAATAATTGACGTGGGGCCACTTGGCGTGCATGTGTAAATACTAGCTAAGTCCTGGACCTACACGTATAAATACCTTTAACATGTGAATGAAGTGGATCTCGAGGCAAATAATGCTCGAGTTTTTTAAGTATTATCCATTATGACGTAGATTGGATTGATGTATTGATAATCTCATAAATAGACAATTGAGTGGGCAAATATATAATTGCCATTTCCTTCATTTCTTTTTGGTAGACCCACTGCATTTGGTTGTATCCAAGTCTAATCATCTTCTCAATGCAACTGTAACAGGTAAGGAGACATTTATGTAGCAGGATTTAAAAAAAAAAAAAAAAATTCATTCCTTACTAACAGTTTTAAAAAACAGTTAAGGAGACATTTATTAGCAGGATTTTAAATAGGAAATACCTTACTAACATAGATTTAAAACTTAGCAGCCTAAAATTACATACTATCAATGAGATAGTTATCACTGTTATCACAAACTTTCCATCAATTATGCACAAAATTAAAAACGTCACGTAAGATTTGTGGTAGTAATTTGTTAAAATAAAAGGTTCAGAAGGTGACTTAATATTAATTATCAATTCATTAAAAACTCAGGAGTAAAAGCAACTCCAATTATGCTAGTTTTTAGTTAAAATAATTAAAATTTTAGTTTTTTTTTCTTAAATTTTTCTCCACTCTAACCATTGACTAAATAATTAGCTATTTTGATTAAAACATTTTTCACTAACTAAATATGGCTAGTAAAAAAATGTCTAGCTATTTATTATTTTATTCTTTATTTTAACATAAAGTAAAAGTTAAAAAAAAATTATTTATATTTTAAACTCAAAAAAATATTAAAATAATTTATATTTAGTTAAAATAAAAAATATAATTGAAGTGATTTACTAAAAAAAATTATTAATTTTAATAGCTTCTATTTTAGTTAAAATTTAATTAAAATTTAAAAAGCTCTCTTGGACATGCTCTAACAGACTAAAAGCCCAAATACCGTTCCGTTTTTCAAAACAAACAAGCTTCTATTTGAATTCCATCTGCAATTTACCATTTGATGTGCTAAACTTTTTCACCCTTATAGGAAGAAGACAAAATAAAGATAGAAAGTTAAAGCTACCTACCTCTATCTATCTATATATATATATATATATATATAACAAATATTAGGATGCTAACTTTTTTTTTTTTCCTTCTCCATGAGAAGCAAGTAAATGAAGAAAACAAAGATAAATAAGATTAAGAAAGTTAAGGTTCGATACCTTTGATTCAAGTTGGGAGGTACTTTTAATTTGCATTATTAGCGTAAACTAAATAAAACTTCGCATTTACCTTAAAAAAATAAATGAGTAACAACATAGTTTCCACTTTAATCAGAGTAAAATTTCTGTTAACCTTACTGAAACATGCATTATTAAAATGCCAATTAGCTTTCCAATATATGGAGCTAGGATTAATTAAAAGTGTGCAGACAGCTCACGCAATATCAACAATAGCTCTTGTACTAATTATACTATATCTATAGATTGATGGCTACATTTATATAAGTACCTATTATTGAGACTATATGTCAACTTCATTATAATAAAGACTATGCTCTTGCGTGGAAAGCTAATACACAAACGAAGGAAAGGAAACGGAGGGTGACAAATTTTTCAAAAAAGAAAGAAAAGAAAACACTCAAATGATGTAATGAAAAAGAAAGGCTATATTGTCTCATTCTTTACTGTAGAAATTAAATGATCTCAGCCAAAGAAAATTTTGATTTTTTTAGTTTAGATTTGAATTATTTGGAATCAAAGAACGACGAGTGATAAAGTTAGGAAGCAACTTAAAAGTGGTTAATTACCAAATATTTTTATAATGACTTATCATAAAAGGGAGAAGAAGGTCCTTTTAATTCTTGCCCCACAATATGTCAATATCTACTTGGCTTTATTTTGAAGTGCCATGCCATCCAAATTACTCCAATTTCAATAACAATGTAATCGGTAGTAGTGAAGCGTTAACTCTAATAGGACCAAGTTGGACTTTTATTCTTCTTCTTTTTTTTTTGCTCAATAAAATTAAAGAATTCCACTAAGGAGAACTATATCTATATGAACCAAGTGGGCTTAACTAAATGCAGAAATGTGAACCAAAAAACAAAAAAAACAAAAACAGCATCACCTCATTCTTGCCAGTGCCACCACCGACACTTTGCTTTTATATTCTGTCAGACTTTAGTGCCATTTAGCCACGCAGGTGCATGTGGAGCCCACGAGTGGGCTGACTCACGCGTGACATAGTAGGTTTCAATAACATTTTGGGGATGGGAGTCATAGAGTGTGTTTAATTAATGTATTCGTATCATGATTTAAATTATTATTCTGTCATACTTTAATGTCATTTAGGCACGCAGGTGCATGTGGAGCCCACGAGTGGGCTGACTCACACGTGACATAGTAGGTTTCAATAAGCATTTTTGGGGATGAGGGGTTAAGAGTGCGTTTAATTTGTGTATTTATATAATGATTTAAATTATTATTTATGATTTATTATGATATTTTTTTTATAAAAAATACACATAAATAAAAAATAATTTTAAATCATAATTTTAAATTTATAAACTAAACGTCCACTAAGAGTTGTGAAAGGATTGCAGGCTCTTGATTTTCATTCATGAAGCTTAATATAATGGGAAGTAATAGTTCATTTCTGACATTAATGTAATATTCACTTAAATATATCTTTTTTTTTTCCTCACACAACAAGCTGGTAATTATCTTAATTATTGTGAGTTCGTTTGGTTTATAGTTCAAACCAATGACTTTAATTTTAACTTTTAAAATTAAAATTTTTTATGAGAGAAAAACAATGTAATAAAATTAAGAATCATAATTTAAACAATGCAAAATTCTTAAAATAAATGCACCATGTGGTTGAAGTTGCAATAAATTCAGGCTATATTTTCAGTGTTGAGATGAGATAGGTATGGAGTTTGAATCTCCTTCTATAATTTTAAAAATAAAAAAATATCAATCAGTGCATGAATGTAATGTTAATATTATGTGGGATTTTGATGTAATTTCTGGAGATCCACAAAAATAGAGTAGGTCAAGGCGTATATTGGTAAATATGTTGACTTGTGGAGATGTAGGGTCCGTTTGGATTGGCTTTTTTTATGCTGGTTTTGATTTATTTATTCCAAAAGCAGTTTTTTGGTCAGTTTGGATGGACCTATCAAATTGACTTTTGGCTTTTATAAGCGCTAATGGAACAAGCTAGGTTAAAAGTGCTTATGAAAAGCCCAATAATTTTTTTTTTATTTACATTTTTAACCTTTCATCTCGGAATAACAAATTTAAAATGTCATTCATATCCCTTATTATATTGACGTTTCATCTGGCAAAATACATCTTATATTTTAGGGAGACAGAGAGAAATAGATAAAGGCTTGAGATGAATTAAAATTAATAGGCCAATAGTTTACATAAGTTAATAAATATGTCAAATTACTGTTTTCGTCTATAATTAGTCTGGTTATGAACCATAACTTGACAAGTTATTGTCCATAATTATCCATAACTTGTCTGGTTATGAACTATAATTTGACAAGTTTATCCATAACTTATCTGGTTATGAACCATAACTTGACAAGTTATGACCTATTAATTTCTATAACTAAAAATTGACCTATATACTTTCTTAAGCTTTTCATATTGGCATATTTTCTACTATTCTCCATTAGTCCACTCCCCTCTTGTAGAATGCTCTGCTTGGGAAATTTCTTGTGGCTTGTTCACGACTTTATTTTTATTGTTTTTTTTTTTTTTTTGCAAGAAATATTACAAAAAAGTTCTATTGGTGTCATGAAGTGAATTTTTACTAAAAAAAAAAAAGAGAAAATAACCCAAATGAGGGCATAATAGACATTGTCACAAGAATAAGTGTTTTCAACTTGTTTATCCAAATAATTTTAAAAGTTCTTCTGGATTTAAAAAGTATTTTTTCATGTACTATTCAAACAATCATAGAAAAGTTTTGACTCGTATTTCTCTTCTTTTACTGCTTAAAATACAAACACAAATTCTCCTAA